AAAAATAAACTGCTGTTGGGGTGGGCAGAGGTTATGTGGGACATCTCTGTACTTTCCTCTCAATTTTACTATGAACTTAAAACTGCTCTAAAAAAAAAATAAGTCTTTTTAAAAAGCCACTGTTTAAACACAGGAGATCTGTAAGTATGAGATTTTTCTTTTACAATTTACAAGTATGGTGCTTGGAAACGTTAATAAATTATTGTTTTGCAGATGGAAAGATAAAAGCTAGGAAGATTATAAAGGCTACATTAACACAGACTAATTTATCATTTACCCCATCCCAGATTATGTAAAGAAGGGACAGTTCCTCCAAACTTGAATAAGACAGACACAAAAGAGGCAAGAGGAAGCAATGTGACATGTCCTTCCAAAAGTGAGTATAAAGTTAAAACAGAAGACGGTGCACAGGACGCATATATATCCACGTATACCCGAGTTAGAGGAACCCACAACCAGCTGGAGGGAAGCCTTAATGTTAGGCAGCGAGAACAGCTTCAGTGGAGGTGAGCGCTGTGCTGAATGAACCTCCCGCGCAGCCCGGTTTGCTCTCCCCCACACCGACCATGACCATCCTACACATTCCTTTACCCCAGGAACCTGGACATGGTCCCCGTGTAAAACATCAAAACATTCAACCCGAGTACAGCTTCAGACACAGGATCATTTTCAGAAAAGGCCCCAGTCCAGTATTATACAGAGAATTAGGAACATTCAAGGATCATGTTTAGAAAGCTGATCCATTTTGACTAAAAGCTAGTTACAAACTAACTACAATGTAAAAACATACTTTACTAAGCCAAAGAAAAAACACGTCAAAGGATCCTGCGAAGGTAAATCATTATCCACCTTAGGGAATGAAAACCTTTAAAATTAGATTCTGTGAAATAATAGCAACTTTACAGAAATGGAACAGCAATACTGCCAAACTCATATCAGAACAATCAAAGCTATCAGTCTCAAAATACTGTTTAGTGAAGCTTATGTGAAAGAAATACCTCTGGTTTGTTTTCAAGACAGGAGACTTAAAAAGCAGACAATTTCTAAGCCTTACCTTTACAAAAATACTGGTAGGTATAAAACGCCTGAGCAGTTGATTTGTGAAGTGAGGAAATCTAAGCAGGTTGACGTTGAGAGACGGCAGTTGCTGGTATCCAGCCATCAGAGGGTAGAAATTATATAACATTTCCTGTTCGGTGCCAGGGAGGATCCGTAATCGAATCTATAGCATAACAAGTTGTAGAGAAAGACAATCAAATGTACACGCTTACAGCATCTTCACGGTGTCACCCCTTAATTATTCACAAGTGACTGGACACCCAAATCTTTCTGGTGAAATGTTCTCTCTCCTAATTCCACCTTCCAGACAGATTCTAAAATACAGGGCTGAATCAGTATGACACGGAGACTACACAGATAATAAATGCATTAAAAAAATGTGCGTGATTTCTACCAAGATCTAAACGGCAACTTGAACCAGCTTAAAAAGGGGAACACGACGTGGATCAAGATTTTCTGTGTCTGAGACCAGGTAGATTTTTTACAGTCACAGTATGTTATGAGATAACTGGTAGAAAGGTATCTTTGTATACATTACGTCAACATCAGACAAACTAGTTGTTTCCGGTGTTTTCTTTTTTTCTTTTCTTTTTTTTTTTTTTAAAGATTTTATTTATTTATTTGAGACAGAGAGAATGAGAGAGAGAGAGAACACAAGCAGAGGGAGGGGGAGAGGGAGAAGCAGGCTCCCCGCAGAGCAGGGAGCCCGATGCGGGGCTCGATCCCAGGACCCTGGGACCATGACTTGAGCCGAAGGCAGACGCTTAACGACTGAGCCACTCAGGCGCCCCTCCGGTGTTTTCTTTTAGGGGATCTTTGTGGCGAGGTAAATGATGTCAGGGGAAAAAAAGATGTTTGTCATCATATATTTTTATAAATCAGTATGTGAAAAAGATCAGGACACTCTAGAGAAGCTTCCTCATTTGCAAATGAGTACATATAGTATGTTCATGTGTCAAAGATAATATATGTCGTGTACCAATATGTAATAGCTAATATGATATGTATTCTATGTTATAAACTTAAATTAGTGAATGGACTTACAGTATGTTTCATATATAATTCTATTTTACATTTAACAACAAACATAGCATTCAGAATATGTACAGCACAGATGACTAGTCAGGGTAGACACTTCTGAGTATTAGGACACATTTGTTCTTCTAGTTATGTCCTCGTTGATGAAAAGTATTTACTGACTATTGAGTGGTGTCTGTTACCCACTTTGACAGTAGAAGACAGAATTCTCACTGAAATACGGTTTTGCCTGAAAGTGTATGTTCCATTCAAAAACGTGAGGAACTTTTCCACCTCTGATTTGAATGAGTGAATCAAAACACCTGAACGATTTTTTATTTTAAATATAAAATCGTGTCTAACTGTGCCAAAGATGAGTAAATTCTGTGCAAGATCAAAAATCTCTAAAAAGGTTCACTGATCGTTCAGAAGAGAAATCAGGCTTTTTTTTTTTTTCTAAGTAGGCTCCACACCCAACATGGGGCTTGAACTCATGACCCCAAGATCAAGAGATGCATGCTCTTCTGACTGACCCAGCCAGGCGCCCCAGAGAATCAGGCTTTTAACATGGGTAGTAAGGCCTCTAGGCCTCCAGTTAAAAGACACAAATACACACACTCACACACACACACATACACTCAGTAGTAATAAAAGGGAAATCTAAAATTTTCAGGAATCCTATTACAGTCCAAGGATTTGTAAATTCTTGTTTTATAAAAAGAAAGAACTTACACGTATGATCTCAATGTGAAAAGGGTTACCCACTTAATCCACCTCTATATGAACTATACTTAATCTTTAAAAGTGGCTAAAAGTGCTCACTTTGGCAGCACATATACTAAAAGTGGCTAAAAATTTCCTATCAAAATAATAGGGACCACAATCAGCCTTATCAGTTCGTTTGTAAAAACTTATATATAGCTCTCCATTTCCTGGCCACACTTCTCTATCTACATAAGCAACCCAATGAGATATGACCTATACCTGTTTAAGACCTGAGAACATGAAGGCATCACTGGGCTCCACAGAAATCTCTACATCTTGAACTAAGTTAGTCTTGTTCTGTAGGTGATACTTGACAGGTAAGGATTCTCTGACACGCCCAAATGATGGCAGATCTGCAGAGAAAGAGGCCACATTTCTTTTGGTTAAAAAAAGAGTTCACCATTTATGAGTTCTTTTTGTAAATGAATCTCACTCCGTAGACATAGGATCATTTAAATTAGTGATAATACTCACTCTCGCTAAATAAGAAAATTCTTTGATTGGACAACAGCCCATGGGACTATGATAAAACAGGCCCAAAAGAATCAAGTCTCCTTCTAAAGCTGATTGACCTAGAAAGAGTCGTGGCTATCAGGAGGTGAATTATATTTTAGGAATTTTTCAAGTCTATAAAACATTTCCCTAAATGTCCATCACGGTTCAAGAAGGAATGATAGGCATCACGTGCCTCCTGATGGGAGCACACACCATTAGCTATGAAGTATTCTTGCCAAAAACTTGAACCTGAATCTGATCAAGACTATAGATCCCACCACCAACTCCCAGGGACCCTCAAAAATGATTACAACGCCATCAGCAAAATCCACACTATGGGAGGCTCTACAGGACACCCGACTCCATTTCTTTAATAGATGAACAGCAGGGAAGAGGGGCAGGCAGTGGTGGTGAAGGACGTGATGGAGTAGAGAGGGGGGTCTTCCCGAGCATAGATTTCAAAAGTACGGGACATCCACCAGCTGCAACGCGAGACCTTAAAACAGTCTAAAGAACCTTCAGAGTCGACCAGGGAAATTGCGACACTGGAATTTGATGATATTAAGAAATTATTCCTAATTTTTAAAGATTTTATTTATGTATGTATTTAGTTATTTGAGAACGAGAGGGAGAAACAGTATGAGAGGGGAGAGGGTCAGTGATGATAACAGAATTGTGTTATGTTTAGAAAAATAACCACTGACATTAAAGATGCAGACAGAAATATTTACAGATGAAATAATAGCTGGGATCTGCTTTAAAATAAGGGGAGTCGGAGGCGTGTGTAGAGGTACAGATGGAACAGGACTGATCAGAATCTACTTCTGTAAATGCTGGGCATGTTTGACAATACACTTTTCTAAACCTGAGAAGCTAAAATAGGTATTCTTCCTGGATTCTTTTCCTCAAGTACAACCTGATGCCGTTACCTGCGTTCACGTGGAGAGGAATGTTTTCCACGATCACGTGTGGCAGAGTGATGGCAGTACTGATGACAGGGACACTCCCCACGGCTGAGGTCCTGCGGCAGAAAAGGGCAGCTTTCAAAGCAGGCTTCCCGCGAAAAGCTAACAACAGGAAATGTGTATGTGCACCAACGTGTCCCAAAGGAAACAGAAACTACTTCTACATTCTCTAGAACTTTACTAATGGAAGTTGCTTCGTGAAAAGCTTTTGGAATCCCGTTTGTGGTTTTGAACGTTTCCAATCCACAAATGCCGTAACCCACGGCTGCCGCTTGGCCCCAGTGGCGGAGGGTGAAGCGAGCACGCCAGGGGGCGCACCACCGAACAGCGTTCGGTAGCAAAAGGCTCTCGGTGTGGGTGGCCGCGCGGTGACCGACACTGTGACAGAGACCTCCTTCTCACCCTGCAGCTGGCTCACAGCTGAGCAGGGACCACTTGCAAGCGGACCACTACAATGACTCTAGAAGTACACAGCAGAAACCGAGGAACTCAAACTACGTTATAATCAATCAACACAGTGCCATTCCAGCACTACCGAGAAAAAGTGCGCACCACTAGGAAACTGTCAGTATCTTTCCCTCTGTTACAGTTAGAATGGGAACTACAGGGCCAGCTGGCTGCTACCTGACCAAGGAGAGCCCTTGGGGAGAGTCTGTAACTAGAGGCAGAACAGCCAACACTCTGTGCAAGTTATCATACAGCAGAAGCAACAGGAAAACCCATCTAACCCTTTATCACTAAGAAATACGTCTCTCTGGTACTACAGTGGCATGAGGGGATCATTAAGCAGCGCCTTCACAATACCACTTTAATTCCTAGAAACATAAATTAAACTGAACTTCAATGCTGAGTAAATTCAGAAGTGGGGAAAAGAAAGTTTTTTAAAAACAAAACTACATTATTTTTCCGTTCTCATTTTTAATATTATCTTACCCACTGTTCTAAAATTTATGGGAAAAAAACCGGGAGTCATGCTAAGAAAATAACACATAAAATATCACGTATCTACCTCCCAGCCTAAGAAAACATAACAATATAGCTGAATCTTCCCACGTACCCCTTCCTGCTTGCACTCCCCAGAAGTAACTACTATCCTGAATTTGGTATCTATCATTGCTATGCGTTTCTTTACACTTTTCCAAATTATGTATGTAGCCCTAAGAAGTACACAGTGGTTCACATGTTTTCCAATATTATATACATGCAATTTGTTCATATTCTGAATATCTGCAGTTGCTTTGTTCACTTACTATTAAGTTACCAGGTGTAGCTCTGGTTAATTCATTTTCACTGGTAACACAACATTCCATTGTATGACTATGCCACGATTGATCCATTTTCCTGTTGATGGATATTTAGTTTCTAACTGCTGACTATGATAATCAGAGGTGCTATGAACGTTCTTACATACATCCTTTGTGTGCATGTTTAAGACTTTTCTATGACTATAGGGTATAGACATCTTCAATTTTACCTGGTCCTGCTGCATTGTCTTCCAAAGTAACTTTTGACAAACCATGCATTGTTAAATCTTTATTTTTCCAAATTAGTGGGAGCACATCGGAATCTCAGATTCCTAGTGAGGTCAAGCTTCTCTCCCTATGTTTACTAGCCATTGGCTTCTTCTCTTTCCCTTACACTGCATACTCAAGATTTTGCTCAACTTTCTGTTAGGAGACTTGTTTTTCTTATGATTTGTAGAAGTTCTTGATATGAATTCTAATACATTGTCAGTTTTACATATTGTAAATAGCTTTTCCCAATTTGTATTTTGTCTTTTCACTTTCTACATGGCATTTTTAAATGAACTAAGAAATTTAATTGTAACAAATCAAATTCATCAATTTTAGTGGCTTATACATTTATGTCTTGTTTAAAGGAACTCTCCCTATTCCAAAGTCTTAAACAATTCTCTTATTTTTTACTAAAAGTAATAAAGTTTTGCTTTCCACAATTAGAACTTTAGGATACCTGGAAGTGATTTTTATATACATTGTAGAGATCCAATTTTTTCCCAAATGGACACCCAATTGTTCACCACTAATTGTAAAACAGTTCATCCTTTCCCCACTGCTCTGTAATGTTACCTCTCTAAAATATAATTTCCATATGTGTGGATCTGTGGATCTATTTCTAGACTCCCTCTTCTCTTCCACTGGCTTATTTACAAATCCCCAAGCCAATACCATAGCAACGACTACTGTAGCTTTACAGTAAGTCTGCGAATTTACAAGAGCAAGTACCCTTGCCTAGCTTTTCTTCTGGAGTATCTTGACTATTTCTGAGGTTTCGCCTTTCCATAGAAACTTTATGATCAAGAGTGTCAGATTCTACAAAAACAAACCAAAATAAGCTATTGGGATTTTGAAGGAAACTGCACTGGTTCTATAGAACAAACAATATTAGACCTATCCAAATCCTACCCGAGACCATTTTGTGTATTTCCCCATTTATTTAAGAACTTCCTTTAATGTTTTAAAAGTTTTATAATTTTCTCCATAATGGTGACACATGTTTTCTATCTGATACACTCTTACTTACCTTATAATTATTGTTGTCATCTGAATGATACCTATTTTAAAAGTACATTGCTGGAGGTTTATTACTGATGTAGAAAGCCAACTGGATTTTGTATATTGAATGTTATATCCAGCAACCTTGCTGGAACTCTTAATAATGCAAATAATTTGTTGACTCACTTGGGTTTTCTATGTAAACAATCCTACTGACTGCAAGTAAGAGAAGTTTTTCCTAATGTTTTTAATGGTCCTGTTATAAGAATTCATTTGGCTAAAATTTCATCAGTATATAAGGTCACAAATTGTGACAAATACAAATGAAAGTTTAACGATCCTTTTTAATCTTTGTGTTTTTGACAAATGGTTAGTGATAGCACGTGACTTCTAGTCTTCACCCTAGGACTGAAAGAAGCTTTCAGATATTAAATGACAATGACAAATAATAAAGGCATGAGAATAGCACATACAAGGAAAAAAAGACAGGGCTGATATAATTTACCTCTTCCAGGAGATAATATAATGCCCAGTTGCTACTCCACCTTCAACATTTCCAACAGATGGGCACCGAAGACAAAAGCATTCACTAGCACTCTCTCCAGTCTGTAAAACAACTACAAGAAATAGTATTTATAATCCGTATGCAAGGATTTTCCCTATGAAAGGAGAGTTTTACCTCCGGTAGTGGAACAAAAAAAGAATACTTTATCAGTTATACATTATTTATAGAGACTTAAATGCTAAGGCTCAGAGATGTTAAATGACTTTTTCAAGGTCACAAAGTCCCTGTCCAGGTCCTCAATATTCCGTTATAATAAAAAGAGGCGAAGCAGCTGTAGGTCTGTGACAAGTTCCTATGGGAACTAATGAAAAGGAAAAGTTTAGAGTCAGGATAATACTATTTGGTGATTATTTTTCTTTCTCCCCATTATTTCATGTCTCCAAAGAAAACATTTCACGGTAGGGAAAAAGAAATTTTTGCTTAGTCAACCCTTAAGGTACTCAAAATGTCATTCCAGCCAACTCGGGCTTTCTCTGACATATGCACATTACTGACACCATCAAATGGAAACACCTTACATGGTGCCTCGTTATTGCCTAATTTGGTTATTTACCTCTTACACAAGGATGCTGTCCTCTTGCCAAATTTAGCCTAAACTCCTGATGACAAGACAAAAGCTCATCTGACCCGAGGTCTCCCTGCCTGTCAGCCCTTCGCAGCCTGGGGGGGCTCCTCTTTTAATGCAAGCCAGCAACAGGGCCCATGGAGGGCCGAAGTTAGCACATCTGTGAGTGAAACTTTCAAACAATAATAACAAAGTCTTTAAATATTAACTAATTGTTTTTATGGTTCTCCAATGAAGAAGGCTGTGAGAAATTAATAGTTATGTTGTGGGTAGAAAGGGAAAAAAGCTGGGCCAATTTCTACTTTAATTAACTACTTTTAAATAATTTTAAAGGCCTAGGAAATGATACTGTAGCCCAATAAATAAAACACACATTAGGGGCGCCTGGGTGGCTCAGTCGTTAAGCCTCTGCCTTCGGCTTAGGTCATGATCCCAGGGTCCTAGGATCGAGCCCCGCATCTGGCTCCCTGCTCAGCGGGAAGCCTGCTTCTCCTTCTCCCACTCCCCCTGCTTGTGTTCCTGGCTCTCGCTGTCTGTCAAATAAATAAATAAAATATTAAAAAAAAAAAAACCACACACATTAATTCAAACCTTTTTTTTTTTTTAAAGATTTTATTTATTTATTTGAGACAGAGAGAATGAGAGCACATGAGAGGGGAGAGGGTCAGTGATGATAACAGAATTGTGTTATGTTTAGAAAAATAACCACTGACATTAAAGATGCAGACAGAAATATTTACAGATGAAATAATAGCTGGGATCTGCTTTAAAATAAGGGGAGTCGGAGGCGTGTGTAGAGGTACAGATGGAACAGGACTGATCAGAATCTACTTCTGTAAATGCTGGGCATGTTTGACAATACACTTTTCTAAACCTGAGAAGCTAAAATAGGTATTCTTCCTGGATTCTTTTCCTCAAGTACAATCTGATGCCGTTACCTGCGTTCACGTGGAGAGGAATGTTTTCCACGATCACGTGTGGCAGAGTGATGGCAGTACTGATGACAGGGACACTCCCCACGGCTGAGGTCCTGCGGCAGAAAAGGGCAGCTTTCAAAGCAGGCTTCCCGCGAAAAGCTAACAACAGGAAATGTGTATGTGCACCAACGTGTCCCAAAGGAAACAGAAACTACTTCTACATTCTCTAGAACTTTACTAATGGAAGTTGCTTCGTGAAAAGCTTTTGGAATCCCGTTTGTGGTTTTGAACGTTTCCAATCCACAAACGCCGTAACCCACGGCTGCCGCTTGGCCCCAGTGGCGGAGGGTGAAGCGAGCACGCCAGGGGGCGCACCACCGAACA